GAGAGAGAGAGAGAGAGAGAGAGAGAGAGAGAGAGAGAGAGAGAGAGAGAGAACTTACTTGTTATTCGGAACCAGGATATCAGTCAGATTTTGGTGTAGCAAACATTCGGAAAATGAACCAGTAAACTGCAAAATGAAGCAAATTCAAAATTGCCAAATCAACAATGACAGAGTACTAAAATTAGTTGAACCCAGTCCAACAACAGTGGCCTCCGCTCTGCGATTAAACCAGAACAAATGGCCATTAAGAAAAGAACCATGACTTCACTGAATAGAGTGCTAAAAATTCTGGTGCAAATGCATCATCTGAGAAGAACCAGTGTACTGTACAGTAAATATTGTCAAACAGAACTGCCCGGAAAACCATAGGCAGAGGGGAAGAAGAGGACAACAAAGGAGGGCCTGTGACAAACTGTTCCACTGGAGTTTCACCGACACATCAGGAGTGAAGCATAGAGAACTGAACGTAAAAACAGACGCAATGAAAACGTTCCTGCCTATTTTGAGATGCGGCAGCATTATATGCGAAAAACTTGAAAAGAGTTGATGCCCGAAAAGGGACTATTACGATTACCAGTCAGACTGATGCCCGCAGAAACGTCCGGAAGGAGACTGGGAAACTCTCAAACAAACCACATTCCTGCACACCCTTAGATTCTGAGCAGCCATATTTCCCGGGAACTCGAATTGAACACACCCATCAGAGGTCACAGCTTCATGTGCAGCAAACTAGGTACTCTGCAAGAGTTTGACTACCGGCACTGCACCCATCTTGAGACAGTGGCAAGTGTCAGAAGCTGAGTCCAAGTGGATCGATTGTCACTTCAGGGGAGCGGATGCCAGGGCTAACGCCAACAGCTGCAGAGGAAATATAACAGACTTCCCATGTACAGTTGCGAGTCAAGAAAAGAGAGAAAAACTTTTACACTCTGCTGAGTCTGCTACCACTCTGTTCCCTTCATGTTGCAGAGCTCAAATGTGAGACAATGACATTCATAGCAACTCAAGTGAAAGAAGAATGAGCTCAGGAAGGATGGAGGAGGAGGGAACGTGGAGAGAGGAAGGAGAAGAAGGAGATTACAAGCCGGAAGCAATGTTATGCCCCTCCTTCACTTGGCACCATCTTCTTCCTCTCATCATCTCCTCCTCTTAATTAATGAAGAATTATAACAAATGTTCAAATAATGAATGAATGAATGAAGAAGAATCACTGTCAGCATGATCCCCCTTACTGCCAGGCTTAAAACGTGCTCTCCATTAGCTCACTCTTATCGCCTCCACTTGGTATGGCTACTAGTAATGGTGGTTCATCCTCAGCTACGTTGGATGTTTGAAGGACAGCGCAACTACTCTCATGCCATCATCTCCTCCACCATGGGCGCCCTCCGGATGAATTCCATGTCGGCAGGGGCCTTCTTGATGCAGCACCAACCAGGAAGGGGCCTTCTTGATGCAGCACCTACCAGGGAGGGGCCTCTTGATGCAGCACCTACCAGGAAGGGGCCTTCTTGATGCAGCACCTACCAGAATGGGGGCCTTCAAACGTTCAAAGGACAAGGCAACTGCTCTCATGCCCTCTCCTTTTCACTACCATCATGGCTGCCCTTCGGATGAAGTCCATGTCCAACCAGTACCCCGGCAGAGGCCTTCCTGATGCAGCACCAACCAGGAAGGGGCCTTCATGATCCCCCATCGTTAAACATAAGTCTCCTTGGCCATTCCTGCCTTTTCCCTCCTTCAACCTCTCTTCATTCCCATAGCCCAGGTGGAAGGTGGTATCATTCTCCCTCCATATCCTAGGGCTTCTCCTACCTCTCCCTGCTACTCCTCCACAGCCACAGGTCGTCTTCCTCACGCTCAAGCTTCAGCTTGACCCTCCAAGTGCTCCACCAACCTCTCCGTCTACGCTGAGCAGCAGAATGACCACTGGTCAGCCGAATGATATACTCTAGGCTGCCCAGCCTCCACTACCTCTTGGCCAGACACTACCTGTATCTTCCGGCCTCCCGTGCGTGCAGCGTACTGGTTTTTCCGTTTTTTTGGCGGGAACATCATGGCAGAGTGATATCTACCAGATTCTACCTACAGGACCTGAACCTGCACCTACACCTGTCTCTGTTCGTTGCTGAAAACTACCTACCGGGTCCTAAATATTTCTACTTTTGTCCCCGGCTGAAGTACTAACTCAGTGTGTCCTTCTACTGCTACTTTTGGTACTACCCCTGGGTCTAGGCTCATCTACGAATCTACAGCTGTCCAAGACCCAGACACATGACATGACCAACACAGTTCGCAGACAGACTTGGACTTGGGCAAGCATACGGCACACATACTGCAATCTGGCAAAATAAATTCAAATAATTATGAAACTATTTAAATAGATCGTCTGTCAGCATTGCTAGCTCACACACACACACACACACACACACACACACACACACAACACACACACACACACACACACACACACACACACACACACACGCACACACACACACACACACACACACACACACACACACACATACTTAAGATGACACGAATAAATCGAGAAATAGTCCAAATTGCAATCAGACTTGTCTTCATCTGACGTTCAACATGCATACATGCAGCTGGTGATGGCAACAGAAACTTCCACAGACGCAGAATCAGCAACAGACTTGAGATGGCGCAGTGCGCCCACACAAAAACTCCGAGATATGGCCTTCGGCCAGGAACTCAGCTTAAAACGACTTGTCACATCGCATGGCTATGGCGTCTGTGCACCAGTCTGGAATTCCCACACGAAAACCGTATCCACCGTCAGACACACTCACACGCGCATGTTGGAATACAAGTACACAGCGGCATTACCTGAGTGCTATGTACTCGTATTCAAACTGTGGATGGCATAGCTGGCTCAACCGTGGATGTGATCGCTGTCAGGATACGTATTTGAGAGTGGCAGAGGTGTAGTTGCAGTTCTTTTTTTTAATTTTTTGGCTTTCTCGATTTCCCCTGCTGGTCATTTGTCGTGCTCAGGCATGTCTACGAACAGTTTGTTTGTTTGTTTGTTTGTTTGTTTGTTTGTTTGTTTGTTTGTTTGTTTGTTTGTTTGTTTGTTTGTTTTTGTTTGTTGGTTGGTTTGTTTGTTTGTTTGTTTTCCCGCCCCCTGTGCTTCGAGTACATAGCAAGTCAGGTGGATGCATATAAAGAAGTGAATAGCTTTTATCCTTTTGGAGTTTCTCTTTCAACAATGCGTCTGGCCGTTTGTGGATTTTTTTTTTTTTTTTTTTTTTTTTTTGTTCGAAGAATGGAAACCGAACCTCAGGGTTCTGGCTACGTATCCATTCTGGGGAGCAGCAGTCCGGTTCCTATTCCCCCGGCAACGGCGGCAAGTCAAAATAAGATACAGCAGTTACTCACGCACGCTCCTCCCCATTATGGCTGGGAGGCCCAAGTGGATGGCATTGATTACTTCCCTTGGAAACGATTTACCACCCGCCACCCCTGCCTAAGTTAGCCTGGAAAATTGGAAATACAATAAGTTTTCTGCTATTCTTGCTGTGGAAGCCTAAGCCTGCACTAAGCTAGTAATCGCCACTCCTCACCCCAAACATTAGCATTCCTTCTGTTCCATCCTCACTTCGGCCCGACACCCGCCATCCCGCATAGTGTCTCCCAAACTACATGCTATGGCCCACCCCATGCGGTATGGCCTGAGCTGCATTACATGCCGGAGGCGGACGGAGGGTAGGAGCAGGGCACAGCATGTCCACGCAGCTCATGAAAGAAGAGTCCCGCCCTGAAACTCGGGCGTAGCCCGTGGCGAGTTGACTTGTTACAATGAAAAATTAACATATGTGCACCCCCAGACGGAATTCAGGGCCCTACAGGCCCTGTGTCGTTTTCAGCCTAAAAGCCTGAAAACAAGGGCCTACAGGCCCTGTGTCGTTTCAGCCTAAAAGCCTGGAAACAAGGGCGTACAGGCCCTGTGTCGTCTCAGCCTAAAAGCCTGAAAACGAGGGCCATTTTCAGGCCCTCATGAAGTCAACCTACCCTGAAACTTAGGCACCAGACCAGGGTTTTAGCACAGGCCATTTTGGGCCTGTTTTCAAGACAACCTTTGTTTGAACTTCAACGCCAGGGCCTGGCGCGTTTGGCATTGGCAAGAGCAGCCTCCTGGACGGGCCAGCACTATATAAGACTGGCCTGCCCTGCAGGCTGCAGATAGTTCATAGGGACTTCCCAGGCACTTCACGTGCAGGAGGCAGGAGGCAGGAGGCAGTCTTCAGGATTCAGCAGCAGCACTCTGGAGGAGCACTGCAGGAGTGGTAGAATCGTTAGCAGTAGTCTTCAGTGCTGGGCGCTATTAGGAGCTAGAGTAGCATTGGCGAGAGAGAGATGGCTGGCGGAGGCCAGGGAGACTTACCTGTGGCGCCATAGCTCCAGCTTCAACTTGGATGTACCGGCAACAAGGCGCCACCTTCACAGGTTAGTACCGGACTGAGAGAGAGAGAGTTCTTCTTCTTCCTCTTCTAAGTCCACCATCTCTCCCTCACCCTCTCGCTACCTAACTTCTCAGTATCTGCAGACTACGAGAGAGAGAGAGAGATTGGTGACTTTGGGACTTGACGACATTTGGATCCAGACTCGACATTGGACGAGGTACCGAAGACTTGGTGTTGACGACATTCCCATCTTCCCCTCTTCTTCGTCTGTGTATGGCTGGGGACTGGCGCACTCTTCCTATGTGAGCGCCAGCCCCTTTCACACCATGGAATGATGATGATGTATGTTTGGTCTGCATTGCGACGTTGATTGGTCTGATCATTGGTATATTAGCCTTCCGCTGCGCTATCTTGTACTATGTGAGAGAGGTCGGTTCTTGTTCTGGTCTACACCTTTACGGTATGCGACAGTAGGAGCAGGGCACAGCACGTCCATGCAGCTCATGAAAGAAGAATCCCGCCCTGAAACTCGGGCGTAGCCCGTGGCGGGTTGACTTGTTACAATAAAAAATTAAAATAAAATTGTCGAAATTTTTTAAAAGAAAAATTAAGTGGCTTACCTGGTTGCTGGCAAGAACAAGCTCCTTTAGCTTTGGCATAGAACCCACTGTCATGTTCGGGGGGCACGAAATACCCCCTACTAACTTATTCCGTGACAGATCCAATCTCTGCAGCAACATTAAGAATTTAAGAGGAAATCATCAATCCATATGAATGTTATTCAGCAATTCATAGCAATTTTTCATTTTATTTTTTGTTTCGAAAACATCCTGGTGTCCCTCCGCCATCCAGGGTTACTCCCAGCCGGTGCAGGGTTCACGGACGAGAAGGATCCAGACTATTCATAAGGAGCAGCATGTGATGGGAACTGAGCCCAGTGTCCCATAATACAACACATAAAACTGGCATACATTGACTGGTCAGATGAGTACCAACAGTGAAAGCCAGGACATATATAGATCTAGAATTTAATATCTATAATATTTCTATATACTATAATCAGATTGTTAAACGTAACAGTGTATTTGAATTGTTTCTTCTAATAGGTAAGATTTCGAGCTGTGTAGCACGGCGAACATGTTCGCGCCCCTCCGCGTTCGCACGAACGGCTCGCGAACGTGTTCGGGCGAACATCATTTTTTGAATTTTTTGATTTTTTTTCCATAAAAAAAAAGAAAAAACATATATATATAAATATGAGTCGGTGAAACTCCGACGAAACAGTTTGTCACAGCCCCTCGTTTGTTGTCCTCTTCTCTCTCTCTGCCTACGGTTTTACCGGGCAGTTCTGTTTGTGACGATATATATATATATCGTCACAAACA